GCACAGTATTGAATTTTCAAATAAATTGCTACCCAAATCGAGATAAGTGAATCTCTTCACAGTTAAATTTACATAAGTCCAGATAATTTGAAATTTACCTCATGATACCATCATCCTCCCCATCTGCTAAAGGTTTGTATAAAGATTCGATCATTTCTACTTTAGAAGATTGTGTTCGAACTGCGGCCCGGTACTTTGAGATTGATGGCCAGAATCGAGATCCAGTCACCTGCAGACCAGAAACAGGCAAGAAATTAGTGTGACATTTATCTAATTGGTATCGCAATATGTTTTAATCATTGTCATAAGAGAGATAAGCAAAAGAGGAATGACCGCTGCAATGGACGGAGCATCTGATCGCCCCGGGGATCCATGAGATACATCTATACCCAAAATCATTGTCGGTGTGTCCTTAAGTATAGGTATACCGGGAATTTTCTCTGTTGCCAACATTGAATTGCTACCACCAAGCTTTAAAACCCAAAAAGATGTTAATAGTTATTAATGTAATGCCAAAGACTACAAAAAAAATTAAGTTTTTGTTCAATGTCCGCAGGGGTACTTAACATGATGATAAGTTGGTTGAAGCATTACCTTAGCATTGATTTTGAGAAGAACATTCGTAAGATAATTATCGTTAATCTTTATCGGTGATACACATTGTGTAATGATCCCAAAGTCAACCAAACATTTTTTCTTCCAAGGTCCTAACCATATTATTAAAAGATATGTTACTGAGATTTTACTTTTGTCAAATGTCAAGGAACAAAAGTACAAGATAAAGACTATTACCATATATATCTGAATTTTTGCGCTCTGGCAGAACACAAAGAAGAAGCTGAGGCGGGCCAGGGATCTTGGACATAATCAACTCAAACATCTTTTCGACGCGAACTACAGGACTAGACCGACGATACTGAGGATCTTCCTCAACAAGTGTGTGCGGCCGCTCCATATGCTGGCATGCCCACCACGTCAAATAAATAGTGGAGTGATTGTATAAACCACAAGTTTGAAAAAAAACTATAAAACAAATTACATACAATGCCTTTGTTCCTGGCACAGTTAATCAGTTCCCTGGAAAGATGGCTTGTATCACAGCGTGCAGAAAAGTTGACCATTGACCAGCGCTCAACCCGCAATGGTTTAAAAAATTGCTACATTTAAATATATATATACAAAGGAATCAATTTGTTACTTGAAATGATATGCTTTTCTTGTCCACCAATGAAGTATATTTCCAGATGCCTTTGGTATACTATAAATGTGTAACCAAATTCGAAAACTCATCCCAAAAAATTATTAAAAAGAATACCTTATTGTTGAAGTTCCACCTGCCATTACGAGGAAAACAGTCTTCGCCATTACCAATCTTTAACTGCCCGTTGTGAAAGAACGAAATCCAAGTAAATTAAAAAAATAAATTTGTGGGACAGAAAATTTGACAAAATATAGAAACTACCTTCGGTGTATCAAGAACCCTGCCATCAACTTGCAAAAGCTGCTTTTCAGTTGATATTCCACAAGCAGCGAGAAATGGATCATCATCATAGCAATAGTTTCTCACAGCCTGCAAGTTTAATTAAGACGTAAAGCTAGACAGTCCAACAATTAGAGCAACGAAAAATGAGTATTGCTTCTACTCACGTCAATTACAACTTGAATTCTTGCTGGAGGCTTCTGCCTTGAACTTTCAACTAAAGACGCTCTTTGTGTAAAAGATAATTCCTTTGTATATCTTTGAAGAGACACCAGAGAGCATAGCTATATGTCAGGAAAGAAAAGAACATTCAGAACATTTAAGGCAGAAGGCATTCTGATAGCAATCCAGTATACATCTGAAATTAGAAATATAATGAAGATGAATTCTGCAAACCTCTATTGGTAGGTAAATGGGCTTTTTTGGTTTTCCCACATCAACACATGGCATGAATGCAGAATATGTGAGTTCTATATTAAGGTGCTTAGTGAAGTAATCATAAACAGTAATCTCCATCACTTCCCCATCATCAAGTGAACCACCACCATTTCTCTTTTTCATTGAAAAGCTTTAAAAAGCAATAGGCATACATCAAAATTTTTATCTGTCCATAAGTAGATAACAAAAAGTAAATATGCTGCAAGATTACAAGAACTTACAATTGCTTATGGCAAGGTAGCTCACTAAACCCTATGATTTTAAATTCCCTGTTGCTATGCCTAGCTTTAACCCTCATATTTTTTAACGTTTTCTTTGCCTGTCGAAGTTGCAGTTTAATTAGACTTTAGATAGTCTTGGAGGAGAGCACAAAAAGCTACCATTGCTTACTCTTGCCCAATCAATGTCAATGTAATGCCGCTCCTTTACACCCTGGTTTAGAAGCAAA